GCGTGGCCTTGGGGCACTACTGTGTCGCCACGGCACAATATTGCTTGCAAGCTTGTTAGAGCGGGGTTACGTGACACTCACAGTTACGGTCTTGCGTTATCACGTGACAGCACTAGATTGGTGCGGTTTTCGGGTCATCAAGCATTGTCATGTTTCGGAGCTTAGTCCTACCCACTTAGAGCTGCCTTGCGTGCAATCTTTCCAACTATTCAGTTGACCAGCTTGCTTCCATTGTGACGTCATGGTCATCGTGGTAACACGATGTTTGCTGTGGTTACTTCATAATCGTCATGGTGGTGTCACCATGTAACTGTGACCGATTGACCTGCCGGAGACCAAATACTCACACGAAATCACATCCTATGCCGTAGGCTGGTGGACGGACACATCAACTTCGAGAAGTTCTGGCAACTGGCCAAGCAGGTGACCGAGTTCATCGCGTGGAAACAGGTCACGTGTCCTTTCGTCAAGGACGCCAAGGTCATACAGTACCTGATGACGGGACCCGTATACGACGAACACGGTAAGTCATCTGGTGTGGGAGACAGGACAAGTTCTGTGGTGGCACATGGCACGGGAACGGAAACGAGGTCTGCGATTGCGTTGTATGATGTCAATGCTGACAGACGAGTTGTGTCAACATCTTACGGATTCCGCTGTCTCACTTGATGCAACGTGTATTGGAAACAAGCATTCTCCCTCCCTAGGTCCTTGTCGTTCCCTTTATTGAGCTTTGGCACAGCCTAGTTGCATGACAATGTCATGCTCGTGTATAGCGGACGATGTTTCGGTTCCTGCATTCACGCGATATTTTAGCCGTACTCAGGTGTGGAATCACTCTTGATTCCTAGGCGGTGGTTAGTGGCAATCATCGCTTGCGGTGTTAGCGAAAATACGCTCATTTATCTGTAATTCAACACGTGCATCTAAATGCCAAATACTTCTCTCTGTTCACGCGTTTGCTGTATTGATTGGAAGTAGTCACCACCCATTGCTTAACCAGTTCTGCAAATGGTTGCAATGGATAGAAGTCACAAATTTACGTCAACTGGTTAACACCGTGGACTGTAGTGGAAGATGCCCCTGTCCAAACAGACCACAAATGTCAGCTCCTATATTTGAGATACCAAACCTTTGAAATAGTGTTATACCACCTACAGTCATGCACCGCTCATGCTAAGCTGCCGTTGCGTAAAACAATAAAATGACGTTCGCATTCTTCTTAGAGCTAATGCGTTGTTGTGCTGCGACGTTTTCGTGATTTGTGATGCATTTTCCTCCTCCGTTCTAGCGCTTTGGCTCGCGTCATATGAGTGTGAGCATCCCGAGAACAGCTTCGAAAAGGATCGACTCAAAGTTCTCAAGTAGGTATCAATGCAGCTGTGCTGCTGTAGTCTTCCTCTGTTGAGAGGATTGGTTTGCCCTCGGGTGTTGACATTTACAACAGTTTGCTGCGTGAGAGGTGCGGTCCCAAGAATATGTTGTTGTTCGCTCAGCAGATCATTGCGTTTCTGCCAAATGTCTCCAGATGATGCGTGATGGATGTTCTCATCCTCGAAGGCTTGCCGTTTTAAGCAACAGATTGGTTTCCTGGAGTTTTAAACATATTTTCGCATAAGAAGTTTGAGCGGAGATTGCGAATTTAAGTCTTGGCAAATGTGCATCTCCACAAAACTTTTCGGACCATATATCAATTACGTTAACACATTTAAATGGGGTCATTCCGCCGCTCCCGCGTTCTGCTTTGTGAAAACCGCGCCAGGATAGTTTCAGCTGGTGTTTGATCAGCTTCATCAGTTTCCCTGCTAATTAGTCTGATCGCACACGCTGAATATTCCAGATCAGAAAACAATGCGACTTAGCGAAACAAGATGGCCGACGCTGCAGCCGGCGGTCGCGTGACGCGCCGCGTGACGTCACTGGAGTACAAACGTCGCCGCCTGGCCGACCTCAGGAGTGATTCTTTCCCAAAGCGTTGCCTTGGACACGTGCGCGCGGGTTGCGGCTGTGAGCGGTGATTGGCTGCGCCGCTCAGTGGAGCTGCCGGCGGGCCTATGAGTGGTTGTGGTCGGCTCAGTGCTCGACGCGGGACGCCCGCCGCGAATGGCGCACGTGCTTCTGCTTCGCCTGAGGTCGCTGACATTTTCGTGCTAGTCATCGGTCGTGTTTGTCGCGTGCAATACGTGCGGATGGTTTTTTGCCTGGTTTGCGCTGCCATGGAGCCCCGATGAGTCAATCGGGCAGCCTGCTGTCTGCATTCCAGCGCTGCCGACGGCCATATTGTTTGAGCGTTTGTATTTCTCAGTCGCGTTTCTGCTCGACCAGGTGCTTGGTCAGCTGGCGCTTCTGCCTGTGCTGTCCAGAACGTATTTTTTCGATGTTGTCAGTGCCAATAGACCGGGTTGTTGCCAATCCGTATGCCGTATGTCACGATTCAGTAGCGAATTGCGATCTGGAATGACACTGGAGCGGAACACACGCCAGCGGTTGCGGCCATTGACTTACAGCAAGTGAATAACAGCAGCGTTTTGTGGATGTCCCAGTTTTAACGAGCCGGATATGTTTCCAACGCGTCGGGTAGCTATGTCGACAGCTTTGGCAACGCAAGAAACGGGATTCGAAGTGTTTTGGTTGGTCTATTTTGAAATATTAGCAAATCATATTCTCGCATACCTTCCTGCGTACTGGCTTCGTATTTATCATGTCCTATGAGTGCGTCATGTCTTTAAACCTATATGCAGCGTACACGTCGTAGTGTATTTAAATTATGAGCGCGTATTAGATATACATATTTGCATTCCTTCCGCCTTGTGTTGTACCTGTGGCTGCAGTTGTTTGTGGGCTCTGCTGTCCACTCCCAGCGATTGCATACCCTTTGTCCCGTGGGAAGTAAAGCTCTTTGTTTGCGTTGTCACGGGAATCTTTTGTGAACGTTTGCAGCATTATTGGTGTCATTGCCGTGTACTTTTGTACATATTGACCAAATACACATTGCTGATTGTGATTCACGCTCTTTTGCTCCCTAGTAATGGAATACCAGCGTCCACCAACTAAACTCGTGAAAACCAGGTTTGACTTTTGTTTCTGGAATGAAGCACGCCAATTTCGATCGCCTGCTATGACGGGCTTCAGAACAACTGCACATGCTGACCGGAGCCTGTTGCGTAGAAGTTCCAACCAACCAGCGTAGAAGTTCAACTCAAATCAACGGAAACCTCGTCTTCGACTTTTGTGTCTAGCAATTTCGCTCCTTGCTGGACGGCTCTGGGTAAGAAACTGTTTTGTCGCGCGGTGATTCGAAGTTTTGCGGTGCAGATTGGCCCAAATTCATCAGCAATGCAAACTTCTGGGTGGTGAGCATAGACACGGCGTTGGTTACAACACCACACCTTCATCACGCCGACCACATAACCTTTATCAGCTTCCGGTTTCTACGGCGCTTGGGCGCCACCTACCATACGTTTGACAACGCAAACGCTTGGAACGCAACGCATTTTTGGCAACACGACACGACACGGCACATGACATAACATGGCATGACACGACACGACACGACACGACACGACAGACAGGACATAACATGACATGACACGGCTGCGTGAAAAATTAATTTCGACGCTGTGAAGTGATTGTGATAATTTTCACTGATGATTGCTTTTTCCCCAAATTTTCACGTGCGCCACATTCATAGGCTCACAACGAAACAATCGCTTCCTGGCGTGTTCGACACCGGCCTTTGTCTGTCTGGATATCCCGTGGGGGAGACCAAGAAACGATGCCTGCACAAAGCAGTTGTAATGTATTGAACAGATGATTGTCATTTATTGGTAAGTGGATTTGTGCATCGCCAACGCAACTTATTCTACCAATCTATTTCAAACATACATGCAGCGTAACATCACGTCTTACTACCACTTACACGTGCAACTGTATTCTGCCACATGAGGAGACTATGCCAGCCCTGCCAGATGGCAACTGCGGGTCGCACAAGTGCACGGCTCGCCATGCAGCCACCGTCGTGCACCCCAAAGGTCAAGAAATGCATGGTACCGAACGTTTATGAATGCAAGCGTGAATGCAAAGACTCCAGTGGCGACGATACCCCCGAAAGAACATCAGTGAGTAGCCGTAGCTGTCCAGCAGAAGATTAGTCAGCAGGTCGGGTAGGGGTGAGGCCAGGGCTCCGACCAGATAGATGGCGCCGTAAATTTGACCTACGCTCTCCTGGCCGAATGTGTCTGCCGTACCGGTTATCACGGCGGGCATTGTTCCTGAAAAGCAAAACGATATGCCCCAAACCCAAATAAGGTACATGACCTTACCAGCCCGTGACATGGCCTGTAGAGTAGATATAAGGGTGCAGAACAAACCTGTTAGGGAAAGCATGACTGGCTTGTAGCTGAATGCGTCACACAGGGATCCCCACGTTATGCTATCCAGCATTTTGCAGATGGAGGAACCCGAACCAACAAGCTCGAGGAAGCGATCGTCTTTGATGAAGGTTTGGCCAAAGGCCTTCCACAGGGATGCAACTATATCGAAGGCAAACTTGTTTAAGACATATGCGAGGAGCAGCTGATACAGCGCCATGTTTCTCAGCGCTTCTCTTAAAGCAAGGAATGTACCTTCTTTTTCAGGATTTTCCTCACTGATCACGTCGTCTGGCTCATGTTCAGTCAAATCTACGTCGGGGAGGTTGTTTTGTTCGCTGCTGCTGAGTTCCGATGAGAGGCAGCCTACATTCCGCGCTGGTGGATTATGAAGCCCGAAAACGCATATAATCTTAGAAGGCCACAAAGCCCAGCCTGCAGCAGAAACACCTTCGGAACGCGATCCAGCAGCGCCGCATCGCGGAAGAAGCCGTCCTCCTCCGTAGACACATTATCAGGGTTGATGAAGCTGGTCTGTATGGCGGTGAAGACCATGCCACTGAGACCGAAGCCGGCGGTCAATATTCCGCTCACCCTGCCCTTGCTGTTTGGGAACCACTTGCAGCCGACCAGCAACGGCACGGTGTACACCAGTCCCATTCCCACGCCGTTCATCACGCCGTACGTCATGATCACCCACATCAGGGACGTTTTGACGGAGACACTCGTCAGCGCGGTGGCTCCGCTGGCCACCACACTGCCGAGCAGTACGACGAGCCGGGGGCCGCAGCGCTCGTAGAGCACGCTGCCCGAAGCACGATAAGGCCCTCGGTCAGACTCATCATCGAGTTCACCCACACCGTCTGAGCGTAGCCCACGTCCTGACTGCCGCGTACGCGTAGGTACGATGTCAGTAGGTGGTGAGGTTGCCTATTGTGAGCATGCAACTCATGGAGAAATGCAGCAGGAAGCCGGACGACCGCCAGCACGCCACACACCGGAAGTCTGCAGATATGTTGGCCGGCCACCGGAAGTGCGGCGATTGCGGCGCCATGTTCGGACGCTCACCTATCGACATAAAAGCAAGTGCCGACATTTCACGCTGGTTGAGACAGATTTCTGGGGCTTTTCATCGGCTGATGTAAGTCATAATGCATTGTCATGGTAAGTGCATCTTCATAGGATGTTGCCGTCATATGGGATTTCTCACACTGGGAAAGGGGATGCAAAGCGTCCACGTACTTCTGTGCCCCAGTTTAACGCCCTCCCGAATCGCGGTTTGCTATAACGAGAACGAATCGGGATATATAATACTAACATCTGTCCCTTCCAAACTAAGGATAGTTGAGATTCGTGCAAAAAGACAGCAACGGTAAATTGTTCTCATTTTCGTATTTGCATCAAGTTTTTATAGTTTGTACCAGTTTTGTATCGTTCGGAAGATAGTGAGGCTCTACACTAGTTTAAAAAGAAATGCTCCTCAAAATTGAATTAATTAGGTTTGCATATCAATATGTACAGCGCTGTTGACCGTAGCAGTATTAAACATATTTGGAACGGTTTATTGGTAAATTTTAAGTATGTTTGTGTGTGGTTCTGTGCGTTTGAAGCAAAAATCGATCGTGCAGGTTTCCTTGAATGTACCGATGTCGTTCCCACCGTTCGCGATCGGTCATGTCGAACGCTTTGCCCCCCCCCCCCCCTCCGCACACCACTTTCAGAGTAAGGGTCAAAGTCATGTCTTCTTGTGTGGCTCTTGATAGCGTTGAAAAGCATACTGTCTTCGCTCAAATCCAAGCGACGAGTCACGCTGTACACGTGAGCCGTATCGCGCCTCAGACGTCGCTATCAAGTTGAGTGTAAGTCAAGAGATCTTGCTCTTGAATCTCAAGATAATCATATACAAATACAAACGTGCAGGGTAAATGTCCACCCATAAATCAAACACGGCAAAGAAGCCAGCATCGCACATAAATGGGATCATTTACCACGCAGTAGATGGCATAAAGGAATCATCAGTCCATGAGCACACAGCATCTCAATTCAAGGCATGTATGTCACTAATTGAGCAATGGACAGTGCCTTTACACCTGTCGAGACAAATTTGTCAACATTCCAAATAAACATTACACGTTTGACAAGATCAGTTCTAGCATTCCCTGACTGATACTAGAAGCAATACCAGAAGAAATCAACCTATCATTTTTATAAATCTATTCGGAATTGTTTGCATGGATGACTGGTTTCAGAGTACCTGCTAGAGTACCTGCTTGTTGCGTGCACACTGAACCCACCACCGAAGTCATGCCGTCCAGTTCAACGGATAATCTTGCCGCCGCTCTTCCACAGACAGGAATGCAGAGGGTTTACGTGTCACACAATGCTACGACATAGCCGCCCTGGGCCTGAGCTCATCCTTGTTGGCCAGTTGCCAGCTGACCTTTCCATTTCAGTCGGACCAAGCAGTGCGCTCGCGCTGGGACTCGTACCAAGTGCCGCTGGGTTTCGAGTCCAGCAGCTTTCCCCTAGACCATAGAGACGGCCTGTGCGACGGTTAGTACGTTATCGGGTTTACCAAAACATCGGGCCAACAAGGGCCCATCGAAGTGGCCTTCCTCAAGCTCCGCACACATCCTTCTACAAATGAGATCCTAAGACCGATAGAGTTTGTACAATTTTTTTAAAATGTTGCTATAGAGGGACTTTCTACAACTTTGTTTGGCTATACCTAGATCTCCTAGGTCTAACGTATAACCTGCTAAGGTTACATTCACCCTTTCAGTCACACACCTACCTGACGCTGTAAGTCTGTCTGTCTTAATCTGATGCAACCAGTGGTTGTTTTTGTTGTTGCTGTTAAAAACAGATTTCGTTGTATTTACCCTTGCTGGCAGAGCAACCAACACCTTCGGCTTCGATGAGAGAGCCCGGCTTCAAATCCCGGTGGAGCCGTGTCTTGGGAGCTGATTTGGCCCCTACAGTCGCTGGCGCTCCATACAGGGGTGCTCGATGTCGCGTGTCGCGCTCCCTTGCAAGCAAAAGGGAAGAGAGATAAAAGCAGCCCATCCCATCTCTACGGACTTTCGAGCACAGCGTTCTCACTCCTACATGTTCTAAGTTCTCAGTCCCAAACATGGCATGAACTGCTTCAAACAACCTGATCCCAAATGGGATCCGTTCGTAGCCGGGGAAACGCAATGACCACGCGAGCTCTTTGTTATTAGTACCGACTTTTAAACCGATTATCCGACCAGAATACGAAGGCGGCTCATCTACTCCGCAGCCGCCGCTGATACGCTGTCGATGCAATGGCGGTGCCTGCTTACCGATTCTCACCAGATCACCGGTCCCCGTGTGCTCACCGGTCTCCACTTGCCGCCAGTTGCTGCTGACTGGCGCATGATGAGTGAGCAGACTCTGTATGGGCGGGCAGTGCGGCAACTGATACGGCCTTAAGTGAACAAGATACGTCGAAAGTGGTGAGTGCAAGACAGCTTGGCATGCAACCCTGTTGGCAGGAACCGTGCCGTCGTGGGACGGGGATGCGTTTCCCTCCAATCTTCGCACAAGAGGGGACAGTTCCCCATTTCCACCAGCCTTCTTCCCGGGGAAAGTCATTGCCAAGGTTCTCCAAGTGTGTTCAATGTCTTCAGTCCAGTGCATTGGTTAAACCTGATGGAACGGCGCGCTTTGAGGCGGCTGAAGCACGACACGCCAGGAAACATGTCTACATATTATACATTTCTCGAAATAGGTGAAAACTGATAATGCCCAGTTGTGCCTGCTTTTCGCTGTAGTCCCGAGTGAGAAGGTTGTTTCGCTACGCTCATGTTCCACAACAGTCACGTGGCTACCGTCGCTTCCACCTTCGTGCTTGGCCATGCACGATAGCTCTGGAATGCGGATAGATAAAACCCTGCAGTTTTGTGCTTCTTTTATTTTGTTCATGACGCAGCTGAGAGTGTTGCTTGGCATAATGATACCTTGTATGAAATCGTCATTCTGGTATGAGTTCTGGGCCCACGTCCACCGAATTGAGAGATATGTCTGGCGGTTAGTTTTCATAAGGAAATATAAAAACCCAATCTTTCAGTAATATAGGAATACCCAATGTACTAAATTACATTTCATTTCATCATCAACGCTGTGAGCACTTGGTCACATGACCACAATCGAACAGCTTTGGATGAAGAACTTCTATTTAGAATAAAGGCAGTCTATACCTGGCTCGGCCAGAGTGGCGAGAAGATTTTCTCCCTCAAGGCTTTCCGAACTTGGCAAAAATGCTGAAACGTTGCGCGACATTTGTGGTACCTTTTTTATTTACTTCACACCCCGTGTGCAAACTTAATTCCAAGCAGGTTACATAAGTGGCTCAGGTGATGCCTAAGGTGGAACTTTTCAATTGTGCCATGGCATCAGAATACAGATCACAAGCGTGTGAGATTGCGTTTTTTACATATACCTTTTACATATACCTTTTGCCGCGCGTGTCGTTGTTTTGTACCCTTTTTGTCACACATCATAATGGTTAATTTCGGCCTGCCTAGAAATGAGGCCCACTAACCTATGCCCGACTGAGGGACGGCTGCCATGTACAACTGACTAGCGCATCATCCCTCCCCCCCCCCCCCCCGTCTGGCTTATAAACGGTCGGGCGAGGTAAAAATAAGGACATCGTTGGAAATTGCATCTTGAGTAAAGCTCGAAGCACAGCATATCGAACTTTTTTGTTTAATATTTAATCCCTTTATGGCTATATAGCGGCATTGTTCCAGAGAGCGCACTCCGCACGCGCCGGCCGGGTTGGCAAAACCTGACGTAAGCGTTCTACAACGCGAAGGTTTTAACCTGCACTCTCCGCATCATTGTCAGTGAAACACATCCGAGTACCTTAATTGTCTTTTATGTTCCTAAATTATTCCGAAAACTCCGTGTAAGCGCCTGGTATGTTTTCAAAATATATTTTTTATAGGCTTCTTACACTTTAAGGCGTAATTTTGTCAACATGGGGTTGGGCCGGTTGGCAAAACCTGACGTAAGCGTTCTAACGCGAAGGTTTTAACCTGCACTCTCCGCATCATTGTCAGTGAAACACATCCGAGTACCTTAACGTCTTTTATGTTCCTAAATTATTCCGAAAACTCCGTGTAAGCGCCTGGCATATTTTCAAATATATTTTTCATGAACTTCTTACACTTTAAGGCGTAATTTTGTCAACATGGGACAAATAATTTTTCGACCACGAGGTCGCTTGATTTGGCCAAAGGCGATAACGAGACCAGCAGTAATGCATGGAGGCTCCAGAAATGTGCCAGAATAATCAAACACAATGTATCTGAACGTTTGCCGCTTGCGTCTTTATTTCCTCACCCCACTGAAAAACCTAAGTGGATCATAGATGTCCCTTCCCTATCCTGGCCGCGATAAGGGATCCAAACGTACATGCACATTGGCAACAACTCAACATCTCCTTCCTTTTGAATTCTTTACGTCGTAACATTTCGCTCAACTAATCGGAACAGGCTCCCTTTCATCCATATCTTTCCTACCTTCACCCTGCCAGGGCTTTTGTCCCTGATCTTTTAAAAGCTGTGGGTACTGACCCCAGGGAGGCACCCAGGGCGCTGCCAACAGGGGCAAGGGGGCGGCTGCCTCCTTCTCGTGCGCCAAAGGTAGCATATCCTTACTTCTCTTCGAAATTAAAGGACACGCTATCATGCTGACAGTAGGCCGAAATAGCCGGGACATACATCGCGTATTGGAAGGGTCAAATGCTTGCATGCGCTGTGCTGAGAGGATTCTTCGAAATGCTGATACGACATTCCAACCGATGGTGCGGCGCAAGCTACAATAATGATATACATAATTATGATCATGTGATAGAATGCCACTTGCGAAGTGCAAAATCTTTCACCCATTTTTACTCAAGCATCGCAGTGAGGGCTGCATGATCTCTTGCCCAAATCAGACACTGATGGCGCCGCCCCGTACCGGTTGAGATTGGTGAGTAAGGGGATTACACACAGAAATGATGCTACTCGTTATACAGTTACTTCAGACAGGGGATTTCGTTACTCGTTATTCTATTATCATAAAGAAGATTTTAAAACTTCCTTCAGTCTGTTGCTCCGTTTCTGTTTTCAAACCATTTGAAAAATCAGAAAAAACAGTAGTACGTGTTTCCTAAGACAATGGCATACCCCCAAAGCACTAAGACCAAACCGCGAAAACGTGGTTCGAAAACTAGCATTATATTTTTTGGTTTGGTGCCTCTCAGAAGCAATGTTAAAGGAAGGGGGTATGTCTCCCCTCCGCCTGAGGTCCGGATTTTTCATTTCTCACTACAGGTGGTTTGCGACCAAATCGTTTAAATCCGCGTGATGCCCGCTCACCGAGTTCATATCCTCCTGTCGGGAAAATTCTGGCTGCACCTCCGACATCTGTATTAAATGGAATGTTCTACATTTGAACATATTGAGGTAGGCACCAGACATGATGGGAAAAGCTTACTTGTAGCTATTGGTAAGACTTCAAGGTTCAAAAATGACGCTAGGTAGCAAAATTTTAAAGTTTGTGAACATGCGTCCAATTACGTCATTATTTGATGGCGTCATGGAATGGTTCTGTGACGACAGCAATACCTGGCAGCATCTGGCAGCCAGACCTAAGGAAT